TTGGAACTGTTGCCCCCGCCCCCCCCCCCCACCGAAAAATCTGAAGTTCCCCCCCCCCCGAAAATCTGAAGTGCCCCCCACCCCGGGGGAAAATTTCTGAAAGAAACACTTGTGGTATTAACAGTAACTCAGACAGCAACCATGACCAAGGACGGAACAGTTCATTGGACAGTAAATCGAAGCGTGTCGATGGCGTTTTCCCGAGAAAAAGTTTTACAGGAACAAAATTATTTAAAAACGAGATAGCAAGCAGCTCTTCTTTGTCCACACTACGCGGATACAGTAAACCACAACGCTTTAACCGTCATCTACGTTATAAAAACGGATACATATAAAAAGAAACATCTACATCCTCAAGCTCATTTTACAAGGAAGTGGCCGGAAATGGATGCTACCGAATTTGCGGGACAACGTGACGGCAACAGAAAATCAAGTAAATGTCCCGGGGTAATTATTATAATAAGTATTTATTTTGTTTTTGTTCTAGGGATGTGGGACAGAATGATCAACTATGTGAGCATCGCTTTACAATAGCGTAACATTCGGAACGAGTGCAGCAATACGAAATATAATAAGGGAGCAGCTCAGTCTTTTATTTCAAGAATAATGTCATACGTCACTATTATTTGATCAACTAAAACAATAAACCACCAAACATTGTTGCGGTAGTCATGCGCGAGCAATATAAGAGTCCCAATTAGTGTTAACTTCTTTTTGAGTTTTATTTTGCGCTCCTATACTGAGCACAACGTTACAGCCATTACGTGCAGACCTGGAGAATTATTTTTTTTGTGATGAAATGCCAATTTTTTGTTCTCTTTTTATTTTTAAAAAAAAAAAGTAAAATATATTAAGAAAATATATGAAAATCGAATAAATAAATTTGCTGTCTCGTGTAGTGTATTGTAATGGTATTGTTAGTGTACTTTTATATCATAGAAAGTAATCCTTACACGCGATTGCGAGTTGCATGAGCATTAACATCTTGAAACTCGATAATTTGGACTGCTTACACCTAACACAGAGTTAATGAATCGAATGTTTAAATTGTGATTTGTTATTTTCTTGACAAATAACACACACACACACACAAAAACACTAGTAGCTAAATGAGATATATTCCTTTAAAATGTTAAGTAAATGAATCTTGCAGTCTTTAAAAAAGAAAGGTTTTCCGGAATTTTATGCGTACACAAACATTGAGCCTCCCCCTATTTTCCCACGCGCCACATTGTCTGGGATGAACTAATTCAAATAAGTTGTTTACCTACCAACTAAAATTTGACAAACCATGCAATCGTATTAAGTTTATTTGATAATTCCTTGTTTGAAAGGTACCACTCAGCCCAACAGAGTGTTCAAAATCAACTTCTTGAATGGCACATCGCGGAGTTTTATTAATTTGGTTTAGTGCTTAACACTGCATGTCAAGATTTTGAAAGATTGAAAAATCTTAGTCTATTTTCTGTGACCAACTAAAGCGAATCTCACTTCAACAAAATTAAAATTAAATATCTCCATGGTCTGTAATTTTGGATAGCTTTTGATGACCGAAAAACACATTTAGCTTTTTCTTCTTCTATTTTTCCTGTTGTTTTGCAATTAAAATCAGACACTTTTCTATGATAAAATTAAAACAGAATGAGAAAGGCAACAGAATATTTTTTTTTAATTTCTGCCCTCTCTTTCCAACCTATATCTTTTTTGAAGCACGCAAATAATTTTTGTTTCTAGCTCTGCTCATTTTTTTTTGGTGGGTCATATGATTAAGTTTTGAAATAGCTTATTTAATCTCTCTGTCAAGCAACCAAACGGTCTAGCGGAGGGAGAAAAATAAATTTTATTACTAAGTATCACATTGGTTGAACCTTATTTATTGATAAAAAACTTTTCCTCCAGTCATAACAAGACAACACTCAATCTAATGCAATTATAGGGTCAAATGAATGACGTGTTCCGTTATATAAAACTAACGGAGCAAAAAACCCTAATTAAGATACGTTTATTTCGTGCAATTCCCCATCTAAATAAATGGATGAAATTAATGCCATATCTAAGTGCATGAAAGAGGTACACCGGTAATGAAATAAGTCGCAATGGAGGTGGGCAAGGGATCTAAAGGTCTTCTGATTTGAGGTCTACCCTGGAGTCAGATCAAGCATTAAGTTAAACGTGCCCATTGCCTGCATGCCCTATTCTAAAATTGGTTCTGAAGAATGTAGCCTCTGATGTTCAAGAAGTACGAAATGTAAATGTTTTTTTTTTAAAAATAGTATTTGCGTTATTCAATGGCATCATCCGACAATGGAAAAATTATGTCGTGAGAATGGTGTTCACATGGCAGCCCGAAAAAAATACATTTAAACTGTATTGGCATGACAGCTATCCTGCTGCCCAGAAAAGGACTATAAGTTTAAACAATATTCACATGGCAGCTATCCTGCTGCCCAGAAAAAGACTATAAGTTTAAACAATGTTCACATGACAGCTATCCTGCTGCCCAGAAAAAGACTATAAGCTTAAACAATGTTCACATGACAGCTAACCCGCTGCCCAAAAGACCGTTTTATAACATATTCGAAGACTTCAGCAATGGAAAATCTGGAACGCCTGTTAAAAATAAAACTCTTGAAGACGTTTTACCCTGAACGCCCCAATGAAACCGTTGGGCAATCCACAGATACTAGTGAGCACAACACAAAACATCAAACGTCTTAACTTCTAGGAATATGTACTGACCTGATACCCCATCTCCACCCACCCCCCAACCACCCCCCCCTCAACACAACAAAAAATCCTGATAAATTTGAATTAATTCTAATTAAAAAGATCTGTGTTATTAAAATAAATCATTACATTTGTTACAATGAGGACACAATGCTGTTACTAAAAACAGCTGACTGGCTGACCCTCAATTTGTGTGTTTTTCTAAATCTTGTTTTAGTATTTGTAAATTGGTTCATTGCACTGGTCATTACCCTAAGTTTTGAATGGTGTTTGACTGGTGTCTGCCTGGTTTTTTTGGAAGTTTAAGGACTATTTTCAAACATTTTGTTATACATTACACGTGATAGAAAGTTTTAAAATGAATTTAACTATCATTTGAAAATGTAAAAAAATAGTTTTCTTAAAATCAGAAAACTGGGCGTTTGTAAACAGAGGCGAGTATAAGAGCGATTCGTACATGAACATCCGATGGTGATGTACGCATGCAGTACAATCCTAGCTGGGGCTGAAATCAGTTTGATGAAAAAGGTTTACTAGAAAATGTGCTCTCATACAGTAACATCATTTGAAACAACAGCTTGTAGTAACAAAAGGTTACACAATTCGGGAAAGAAATGAAGCCTGGAAAAGGAGGATGATACTGCAGTACGGGGAAAAAAATGGCTCTTTTCATCATTTAGAAATAATCAACTTCTCAGAAAGTTATGTTTAAAAAAAATTAAGGCCAGTCGTTAGACTATGACAATAAGAATGTGATCAACTACCACTCTTGAGTACTACAGTTAAGGATATTAGTGTGCTCCTGGTCAAAGTAGAAAGAATTCACTGAGCTTTGGGGTTTACGAGCTTCTCACCGATGCACGGCTTCACAGGGCTATACTGATCTTTGCGTGTTACGAACTTCTCACCGATGCACCGCTTCACAGGGCTATACTGATCTTTGAGCTTCACAGGGCTATACTGATCTTTGAGCTTCACAGGGCTATACTGATCTTTGAGCTTCACAGGACTATACTGATCTTTGAGCTTCACAGGGCTATACTGATCTTTGAGCTTCACAGGGCTATACTGATCTTTGAGCTTCACAGGGCTATACTGATCTTTGAGCTTCACAGGGCTATACTGATCTTTGAGCTTCACAGGGCTATACTGATCTTTGCGTGTTACGAACTTCTCACCGATGCACCGCTTCACAGGGCTATACTGATCTTTGCGTGTTACGAACTTCTCACCGATGCACCGCTTCACAGGGCTCTACTGATCTTTGAGCTTCACAGGGCTCTACTGATCTTTGAGCTTCACAGGGCTATACTGATCTTTGAGTGTGGCTTCCTACAGTAATGCGATTGATGGATTTCCGCCAAGCACGCTAAAAGGTGTGAACTACTTCCTGGGATAAAGATATGGATTAATAGCTTTCAAAGACAATCCAATTGAGGGATTGCGTCAGTGCTAAAAAAATTTCCAGGATTGCATCCGAGGATAAATAAAGGATCAATTATTATATTTTGGGGATAATAGGAATGATGGCTTGCTTCGAAAGGTAATAACATTCATATTAATTTTCCTCCGCGATTAAAAGCTTTTATTTTCCCTATATACTCTTGCCGAAATTATTAAATACAGTCAACTTCTCTAATAAAATATATCTCCATCAAACAGATGTTCATCCTTCG